TATACATATAAGTCTTTAAAAAAAAAAGATTATAAATTGATTTATAATAAAAAAGTTTTAAATACTTATAAAATAATAATATTTAAACAGAAAAAATAAAATAAAATAGCTTTTTGAAAATGAAAAGAATATAATTTTAATAAAATGATGTCGCAGAATATCCTTATATATGTAAAAATTTCAAAACTACTTAATTTTCATAAAAACATTTATTTATAAACAAATCGTTTTCACCTAAAAAATCAAAATATTAATCAATATACAATAACGATTATAAAAATTAAATTAAATCAATTAAATTATAATTGTCTTAAGAAAAATTAGAATTGTCTTAAGTAAAATTAAATTCTTATTTAGAAAAATAATAAAAAAATAATAAACATATTAACCCTTTACGTAAAAAATAATTCTTTATTAACAGGAGTTTCTAAAAAAGTAAATATTTTATACTTAATTCGCCTAAATTTTAAAGAAAAAACTTTTCCCATAATATAGTTATAGAAGAAAGCATTCTAAAAAACTAATACTAAAATAATATAAAAAATAAAATAGTAATTATTCCTAAAAAATTTAATAATAAATTATAAATAAAACCACAATATAATTAAACAAACCAAATAAAAAATAATTCTTAATAAAATAAAAGCTTTGAATAAAAAAATAAAAGGCCATTATCTCCTTAATAAAGAAATTTTAAAAAAACCAGCTTTTTTTTCAAATTCAATCTAATTTAAATTCCTAATAAATTAATTTAGTTAACTAAGTTAACTAGATAATGATTTCTTAATAACAATAACAAATTATTCCTGAATTTTATAATAACAATAATACATTTTAAGTTAAAAAATTCAAATTTTTTAAAATAATAATTTATGAACATTTATTTAATTTTATTTATTCTTTAGATATATAAATCATAATAATTAAAATAATGTTATAGTATTTGTAAATATATATAAATTTATTATAATATTTTCTTTTTTTACATGATTTTAATTAATTATTATTTATTAATTTAGATAAATATCCAAACTTTATCAAATTTACAAAATTAGGATATTTATCTATAAAGCAAGTATATAAAAAGAAAATAAAGTTTTAAACTAAATATAAAAAAGTTGAATTTATTATATAAATATATTTTAATTCATAAATTATATCATAATACTTCCCAAAATTATAACTTTTCCATTCATACAACTTCCGCATTTTTAGGCTTATTTTTATTTTTAATTAAATAATTTTAAACAAAAATTAATGAAGTGTTTATTAAATTATCATTGTTTTTTAAATATAAATTATTACTTGATTCGATGATTTTTGTTGTTGTTGTAAAATTTAATCAAATATAACAATAAAAAAAGATTAGTAAAAATGGTTAACAGCATTTTTTTTTGACTGAGCTTATAAAAAAAATATAAAAACATAATATAAAAAGAATTATTATTATTTAAAAAAATATGATTATTCTTGCATGAAAATTTATCTAAAACCTAAAAGATATTTGCTTTACATAATCTCCACAATTCAAAAAAACCTTTTATTTTATTTTTGGAGAAAAGTATTATGAGTTTTACAATAATCTAAAACTTAAAAAGTTGGCAATAAAAGAAAAAAAATTAATTATAATTTGTAAAAATTAAAAGAGAGAAATACTATAATTAATATAATGAAATTTTCAAATAAAAGAAAAAAAATTAGAATATAAATTTATATATATATATATTTATTTTTAAAATATTTCTCCAAAATATATATATATATTATTATTTTTAAAAAATGATTTATTAAATTAAATTAAAGATAATAAATTAAATTGAATATTTTTAATTTATTAAAATATATTTATAACTTGTTAATAACTTATTTAATGTATATATATAAAGTATTTAAAAAAAACAATTTATTATTAAATATAATAAAATTAAATTTTAAAAAAACTAAATATTTATTATATAATTAATGTATTATTTAAATTTTATTTTGTTTTTATAAAATTCAAATTTTATATTTTTTGTTTTTAAATTTAATATTTAAATATATTTACTAAATTATAAACTATTTTTTATTTTATTTTTATAAAATAAAATTATTTAATTAATTTTTTTATAACACATCTTAGTTCTATTTTTAATATACATAATCTAAAAAATTACTTTTTTAGAAAGAAAAAATTAAAAAAATTAATTAAAAGAAACAAAATTATGTGTTACTAATCTCTATTTTTTTATATAGCCAAAAATTAAATAGTCATTTAATAATAATACAATTTTGAAGCATTATAAATATATTAAAATTTTTCAATATTTTTTATTATTATTAATAAAAGATTTAAATTTTTCAAAAAATAAAAAAAAATTAAATATATTTTTATCTTAAATTATTTGCTCATATTTTTTTTTTCTTTAAAAAAAAAAAAAAAGAAAAGATTTTCAATTAACAAAACAAAAGTATTAAAAAAAATAGATAAGTTAATTAGTTTATATAAGTTTATATAATTATTAAAAATAAATAAACAATAAGAAATAGTTATGATATATATTTTTTTTATAATTAGTGTTTTTTGATACCTAAAAAAAATTATTTTATTTTAAAAATGATATTTTAAAAAATAAAACATAATCATAATTTATATTATTAAAATAAATTAATTTATTTTTATTAAACCTACCTATAATAAATAAATTGTTTAATTTTATTATTTGTAAATTGATTTATTTATACTTTATAAAAATTAAAATTTTATAAATTTTGATATGATATATTAAAAGGAAAAAAATAAATATTTAAGAAACTATATATTTTAATTAATAAAAAAATATTATATTAAAAAAAAAAAAATACTAAATAAATTATAAACTTTAAATTTTCTTAATTTTCATATCTAAAATCTATTTAAACAAAAACAAAAAATCAAAAGAATGCAAGTAATGATATTATATATTAATTAAATATTAATTAAATATATTTTCATATAAGACAATTCAAAAATTTATATGCAAACTATACATAAATTATTTAACTTTTTTATTTTTCTCATTTTAATATATTTTTTTTATTTATATTTTGATTAAAGTTATAAACCTAAAATCCTTCTTCAGTTTTACTTGTTATAATAAACAATAAAGAAAATAAAAATGTGACACATGATATGTATTTTAATATATTTTCGAAGTATGGGAGTGTTTAAAAAGTTAATAAAATATAAAATTATATATAAGAAATATATAGTTTTCTTAATTTAGTTTTTTATTTTATTTTTTAAAAATTAAAAAAGATTTTGATATTTAAAAGATCTTTATAATTAAAAGCATTTATAGAAATGGATTCTATATAGAATGCAGAAAATGCAAAGAATACTTTAAATTAAACATTATTATTAAACGGACAATTTAAAATGAATATATATTATTCCAATTTAAAAAAATTGTTTTTAAAGATATTAATTGTGGAGGAATCGGTAAATAAAATATTTATGTATATATTATTTTTTTTTTTTCCTTTTTTTAATAAATTAAAATATAAATATAAATAATATTTTTTAAAAAAATAAAATATATATATATATTTATTTAATTTAATTTTATTTATACATAAAACTTTAAGACTACTCAAACTAAAATTTAAATTTTTGTAAAAATTCATTATAAGAATAGTTAGTATAATAAAATATAAAATATAAAAATTTTTAATCTCATAAAGGTAAAATTAATTATTTTTTATATATTTATAAAATATTAATAAATAGATATATTTATAAGTTGTATTTTTTTTTTACACTATATTAATTTATTAAATATTATATAAAAAAATATATTTTTTTAATTTAAAAAAATTAGCGATGCAATTTAATTAAAACTAAAAATAAATAAATGTAAAATTAAGAATAAATTTTTAAATAAAATATATATTATTATAATATTTTTATAACATTAGTCTTTTTAATATATTATATAATTAATCAGTAATCAAAATATTAATATTTTTTAATATTATAAAAAGAATAAATGCAATTTATTATATAATAATTAATTAAATTTAACTCCTAATTTGATTTCTTAATTAATAAATCCGAATAATTTATATATGCATAATATTAATTAAGGAAAGTAAATAAATTTTTATCTGTTATCATAAATTAATAAAAATATAATTTATTAATAATAGCTATTCATAGGTAAAAGTCACTCAACCAACACAAATAGATAATAATAAGAATTTTGGTCCATATTCAGAATAATTATTTTTAAATACAATTAATGCAGCAAAATCTGATAAATGTTCTTAAAAAGATGAATTAGATTCAGATTAATATGATGATGAATAATTTATTTAATAAATATATGGAATGTGTATAGATGAATAATCACAAGAAGATTTATAAGAACAAAATAAAGGAAATTAAAGATTTTAGTGCAAAAACTATGAACTGAATACAACAAATAAAAATAACGGTTCAGTTTAATAAAACATTAATTAAAGTAATAGCAATTATTCTTTAAATTAATTATTTTAAAGTACTTTAACTGCCGATTGTTCAATAAACTAAAATTTATAAATGTCATAAAATGAATAATGTATAAAAAATATTCTTATTTATTTTTTGTTATAAAACAAAAAATAAAAAAGTGCATTTTAATTTTAATTCAGATAACTAGATATAAAGTGAAAAAATAATTTAGTATTAAGATTCTAATAACTTATTTATAAATGATTTATAAAGTCTAAAATCCTCAATTAATATATTTTCTTATAATTAAAATTAAGACTATAATTATTTTAATAATCCTAATTTTCTAGATTTTAATACTGTTATCTCCTGTTAAAAAAATTAAAGAGGTGTTATTTATAATAACAATTATAATTTAATCTCAATTAATTAAAGTTTTTTTTTTTTATAAGTAAATTTAATAAATATATAATTTTAAATTTTTTTAGATTTAAGAAAATCAAAAGTTATTTATGCTAGATGGTTTGACAAAAATTAAGTTACTTTAAAGATGATATTAAATTTATTTAGTTTTTATGGAAAAATAGAAAAAATGATTTATATTAAAGATAAGTCTTCATGCTTAATAGAATATAAGAATTTATATGATGCCTAAATATCTAAAGATAACTTAAATGATATTACATTTATGAGAAATTAGATAAAAGTCATTAATAAAAATTATAGAAATATTTTTACAAATATAATATATAAAATAAAAAAAGATTTTTTATAGCAATTATGATTAAATATATATTAAAAATGCAAAAAAATTATAAATATTTGATATAAACGAAAACGGAACAGAAGAATATTATATTTCTAATTCTAGTAATTAAAAATATAAATAAAACATTTAAATATTAAACTCACCTTCTGAAATGATAATAATAAGTGGTTTATCATAAGAATAATGCAATAAATATTTTTTTTAAAATAATAATTAAAATATAACATAGTTTTAGTAAATTAGAAATAATATTATTTATTTATTTTTTTTTAAAAAAATTAAATAATATTTTATATTTTTGTTTTATAAAAAAGGTTTATTTAATTTAAAAATTAATTCCTGATAAAATTTATAAATGTTGAAAAATGTATAGAATCGATTGTGAATTTAGATTATTAAGATTTTACAGAAAAGTAAACATAAATAAGATATATAAATTATTTATTTACCTAATAAAAAAAAAATCTATAAATAAAGAAAAATTATAATATAGTTCTATAATAATAGCATAAAGTAAAAAAAAAGTTAGTTTAAAGAACAAAAATATTGAAATAATTCTAAACTTTTCTCTTTTTCTCTCTTTTCTCTTTTTTTTCTTTTCTTCCTTTTATATATTTTAGAGTGATAATAAAATTATATAAAAAAACTTATTCTTATTATATTTTATATTAAAACTTATTCCATATAAATATCAAAATTTTTTTTTAAAAAAAAGAAACAAAATCAAATCAAAAAATAATATAAAAATATGATAAAAAATAAATTATTTTTTATTTAAAAATAAATATATGTAATTTTTTTTGATTATTAAATATATTTAATCATTTATATATCTATCTATATTAAATAAAATATAATTATAATCGCTTATTTATAATTTAAATATAAATAAAAATATAAAAAATTAAAAATAAATGTCAGAATTTTAAGCAATTATTAATTTTCAAAACCAAGTCTTTTAACCTTAAATTAATAATTAAAATAACAATTAAAATTAATATAAATAAATTATTGAAGAAAATTCAAAAATATGGGAATGTTTAGATTGTGATAAAAAATATAAATCATATCCTGCATTTTATACACATAATAAAATCAAGCATAATGGTTAACCTCCTAATAATTACAAAATACCTCGTCCTTTAGAAAATATTAAAAAAGATAGAGGTAGACCAAGAGTAAAATATAAATATTTATATGAAAAAAAAAAAAAAAAATTATTAAAATTAGCATAAATAATAAATAATTTTATTTTTATAAACTTTTTATAGTCTGATAATAGTACTAAAATGAAATTTAATAGATAAGATAGAGATTAACATCGTTTAGAAGATGAACTTTTTGAATTCTTAGGACTTTTAGGAGGAAGAAAAGTTATTTATTATAATATTAAATATATTTATATATAAAAAATTAAATATTAAAAAAACTAAATTAATAGAATGATTAATAAAATATTATTATAAGAGGATATTTAAAACCATAATTAAAAGCTATAGATATATTTTAATAAAAAAAAGATTTAGTAATTCAAAAAATCAATTTAAGAGTAAATTATTAAGAAATGGACAATTAATTTAGGTAAAATAATATCTATATATTAATAAAAGTTTAATAAAATAATATAAAAATATATATTTTTTTATTAAAAATTATCTAAAATAGAATATTATAAGATGTTTTGGACAAAAATTAAAAAGATGAATTTATTGACCCTTTGGATATTGATCCAGATTCTAATAATGATGTTTCTTTGTATAATTTAAAAGGATTATTTAGTTTTATGAGAGAATCTTAAAAAATGAATTAATTATAAATAGCAATAATATTTCTATCTTGGATAGGTAAAGAATTAACCGAATAAGCTTTATTTGAAATAATAATTATTGTTAGTGATTACTTTTATTACTATTTTTAATTAAAAGAAGCTAATTAAATTCTTAATGAAAATTAATAAGAAGAAATTAAACTTATGGCAATATAAAAATATAAATTTAGTGATAAGTTTAATTATTAAATATTTGTTTATGATGAAGATAGATTAAAAATAATAAACTTTTTTGTTACTTGGTATAATATTTATGAAAAATATTGTTATAGTGAAACCGAAGAAAAAAATTATTAATCAAATTATAATAATAGTATATTATATAAATATATATTTAATTTTTTTTTTTTTTTTTTTAAATTTTAAATTAATATTTAAATTAATAATTTTTATATAAATTAGGTATGAATTCATAATGAAATATAATAGAAAAAGAAATTT